GGGGTCGGGCGGGGGGAGGAGGGGAGGAAGGGGATGCTTTAAAGCAGCAGCGGTGCCCAGAGCCTGGGGTCAGTGGGGCAGTCCCTAGCGGACACTGGGCTTTGGCACTTTTGCCTTTGAAGTGTAGCAACAGTCCTAGGGCTGTTGCTACATTTCAAAGGCAGAGGTGCCCTATCGACTAATCAATGCAAAAAATGCATTTATTATTCGATTAGTCAATTACCAGATACTTAACATCCTTAGTCTGCACTGTGTTATCTTCTCTAATCCCTCTTCACCCCCTTCTCCCCAATGCTTTTCTGTGCTCTGCCCCCACCTCCTGCACCCCCCACTCTCCTCCTTTATCTTTAACCCCTGAATGACCGTCTCTGTGCCTAATCCCTGCACTCCCCTCCTTCACGCTGAGGAGGCCTGGCTGCACCAGCAGCTGGCTTTGCTGCTCACCGCCCTTCTCAGATGCTGCTTCTCTCTGCCAGTGATGCATGGAATGAGGATCGACATAAGGGCTCCCTCCTAGGCTGATAAGGGGAAGGAGGCAGCTCCCGATACTTACGCAGGAGTGAAAGTGATGTGGATTCATGGAACCCTCATGTTGCTTCTTGCTCCCACTCTCACCCTCCTGAGGGGGGCATGGAGGAACATGTGGAGAGCCAGCAGTATCTGTGCATCACCTCATCCCCCCTTTTTCCTCCATAGAGAGGAAGCAACAAGAAATCTGCGTGCCCCAGTTTGCCTCCTCATGTTAACAGCACTTCCCTGTCAGCCCTCAGCCCCCCAACCACAGCTCCCTGGGCAGTCACCAGCCTGCACTGGTGCCAGTGGGCTGAGGCTGCACAGACAGCCACCCAGGGACACACTGTGTCACAGCCCTGCCAGCCACAGAGCAGTTTGTCTCCAGCCCCAGCTCATCCTCAGCCTGTGCAGTTCATTGGGAATGGTCTGGCGGTCCAGCTTTGGCCACAGTCTGCTTATCGATGACCCTGCCGTCGGCTCATTCTCATGGTGGTGCAAAGACTGTTGAAGTGTTTTACACACAGGGTAACAGCTTTGGACTGAGAAAATAAGAGCCTGTACCAGTACAGTATACCCCATAGCCCAGGATGCTCACCTGGGAGGTGGGAAATCTGGATTCAAATCCCTGTTCCCATTCCCATAGTCCTCCGCTCCTCCCCCCCGCCCACCAGCATTGCTGATAGAGGCAGCAACACGGAGGGTGAGGGGCAGGTGGCACTGCAGAGACAGTGCTGGGGGAAACTGGCTTATAAGATGGCTCTCCCCAGCACTGGCCCCTTCTCTCCCTCTTGCTGCTTCTGTATCAGAGGCAGCAAGGGATGGGAGGGAAGAGAGTAGTTGACTAGATTAATCAATTACACTAGGCTTATTGGTTAATTGTCTAGTCAATGGCTCGTTGACATCCCTACTTCTCACTGCTAAGGATTGCGCCCAAAGAATGCAAATCATCACAGCCTTAATGGAACTCAAAATGGGCCAAAATGATATTTCATTTGCACTGAAGAACTCCCATTGGCTTTACTGTTGTACTAATATACATTATAAAAATTGGCCCATAAGACATCTGTCACTTGCTGGGTTCTGCTTTTCTTTAAATTACAGTTACCACTACGTGACTCCCCCAACATCCACCAGCATAAGGAATTGGTAAACTCTATACAAGTCAGCTTTCTGTACTCGGAACATTTACTTTGTTTTCACTGGTATTTGCAGAGGGAAGTGAAGCAGCCCAAGACGTTCTGTCCAGACTAAACCTGGAGCAGCACAGACACAGGAAGATCAGGCTGAGGGACGTCCTGGAGATCTGCCCAGAAAGCATAAAGCCCAGGGTTCCAGAGGCATTAGGGGATTTACCGTGGCATTTCCTGAGGAAGCTCATGGCTCTGAATGGCACGGCCAGGAACACGAGCCTTGGGCATGAGGCACCTGCTGAGGAAAAGGGTGATGAAGAGGAGCTGTGGATTGATGACAATTTCTGTATTAATGATGCTGAGATGAAAGTTTCCCTGCACCCCCTGGACGTTCTCTGCGCCGTGCTGCTTTGCTCAGACAGTTTCCTGCAGCAGGAGATCCTGTCCAGAATGTCCATGTGCCAGTTTGCCCTGCCTCTGCTGCTGCCCGCCCTCGACTCCCCCAGGTGCACCCTGCTGCTGTGGGCCATGCGGGACATTGTGAGGAGGTGGCGGCCGCACTCCCTGGCACAGAGCCGAGGGTTCAGGGAGGAGAGCCTGGTGCTCACCCCAATGCCAACCGTCTCCTTTGTGCGGCTGGGCAGCTGCAGCTTCTCCAAGTCCCAGCTCCTCAACGAGGTTCTCAGCCCCGCCCAGCAGCACCACGACTTGTTTGTGCATCGGGATATGGAGTCTGGGAACGTCCGGCGGGAAATCGCTGACGGGCTGGTCGAGATTGCCTGGTACTTCCCTGCCGGGTGGGAGAATTCGGATCTTTTCCCTGAGCCCGTCGCGATTACAAACCTGCGCGGGGACATCGGTTCAGCTTTTTAACACAGATCTCCTCAGCGGTGTTCATCATCACTGAGAGCATCAGTGAGCGAGGATACGCCCTGCTCTCCTCTCTGAAAGAGTCAACTGCTAAATATTACTTCATCCTCAACTGCAAGAGTGAGATACCCAAAGAAACTCCTTAGTCAGCTGGCCCCTGTGCTGAAGCTGAGCAAATCACAATTACTGGTGAAAAACAACAGCATCAATAATGCAGGATTTGTGAAAAAGATTCAGTCCACTATGAGAAATATAGTGAACTCCTCTCCCAGGACAGTGAGTTTGGAAGCCATGGCCGTGATGACTCGTGAGCTAGGAATGCAGGTGGACGAGGACTCTCAGGAATGTCAGCATGCGAGGAAACGTGCTGAAGAAATCACTGCAGAAATAAGAGACGTCGCAAAATACAAAAGGGAAAATCTGAGACTCCAGAGAGATCCATGGAGAAACTTGGGTAAAGTGGAGAAAGAGCTGTGCCGAATGCAAAGGCAAGGGGACAAGGCCACTGAAGACTATAAGTCTGAGCTGAAACGGAAATGGCTAGAGATCCGCAGACAGCAGTATGAGTGTGACCTTACTGGTGGTCTGATCAAGTTTATCATGGAAATAGGAGAGTTGTCTCCAATGGAGAAACATTACTTCCTGAAGTGGATGAAATTTAGCCTGGATAACACTGCTAGGGAAAGTCTTTCTAAGATGCGTGCGGAGTATAAAAAGAAATGTGAAACTCCAGGAGCAGACCGAAAACAGCTGGAAGAATTAGATCAATTAATATCTGAAAGCTCCCTCGGGGTGGAGCATTTCATGCGCGAGCTGGGGCAGTTCTATGAGGCTGAAAATGCAATTGCTAAAGAAGACAAAATGGCAGAAAGCCAAAGACAATTCATCCATATCCCAGGTATTGTGGCTGAGCTGATGCTGGAAGGGTTTCCCGTGGAGCTGATTGATGGAGATGCCTCCAACATCCCGCTGCAGTGGGTGACCGATGTTCTGACTCAGCTACACGCCAAGCTCGGGGAAAGGTCCAGGATGCTGGTTGTAACGGTGCTGGGAGTGCAGAGCACTGGGAAATCCACCCTCCTCAACACCATGTTTGGCCTGCAGCTTGCAGTGAGCAGCGGCCGATGTACGCGAGGAGCCTTCATGACGCTCATTAAAGTTACAGAAGCTGTTCAGAAGCTAAGTGGCTGCGATTTCATCCTGGTGATCGACACCGAAGGTCTGAAGGCCCCTGAACTAACAGCTTTGGAGGACAGTTACCAACATGACAATGAGCTGGCCACTGTGGTCATAGGACTGAGCGATATCACCATTGTTAACATGGCCATGGAGAACGCCACCGAAATGAAGGACGTTCTGCAAATCGCGGTCCATGCCTTCCTCAGGATGGAGAAACTAGGACAAAAGCCAAATTGCCAGTTTGTGCATCAGAATGTCAGTGATGTGTCTGCGCATGAGCAGAACATGAGGGACCGGAAACACCTCCTGGAGCAGCTGAATGAAATGACCAGGGCTGCAGCCAGGATGGAATAACAAAGCAGGGCAATAACATTTTCTGATATCATGCAGTACGACCCAGAAAAACACAACTGGTACATCCCTGGGCTGTGGCATGGAGTCCCGCCCATGGCCCCAGTGAACGCTGGATACAGTGAGAGTGTGTGTGAGCTAAAGAAATACCTGTTTGAATTCATAGAGAACCTTTCACAAAACAGAACTGCCAAGAGTATTCCTGATTTTATTGAATGGCTGAAGAGCCTGTGGAACTCAGTGAAACATGAAAACTTTATCTTCAGCTTCAGAAACAGCCTTGTAGCCGAAGCCTATAACCTGCTGGCTATGAAATATTCTGAGTGGGAATGGGGGTTCCGCAAGCAGATGCATCTCTGGATATCCGAAAAAGAAACTTTCATCCAGAATCAGCTGCCAGACAAACTAGAGGGCGACCTCTTAGACACCTTAAAAATTGAGGCACAGAAGAAACTACAGCAGGAAGAACAGCAGCTCTTGGATCATTTAGAACAGTATTTTAAAGGTGAAGCTGCAAATCTGAACCTGATAGAAAAGTACAAGGAAGATTTCAAAAGGAGCGCAAGTAGCCTCAAAAAAGAACTTGAAGGTGTCTCAATCAGTAAATGTGAGGAAGCCATTCGAATCCGAAGGGGACAGCACAAGATAGGCACTATCCTGTCCACGTACAAACAGACAATTGAAGGGAAAGTTGACAGGCTGGTGGCCGAATGCCGGAACAGAAAACAGAAGCTAGACGATAAGAAACTGAAAACTGAATTTGAAAAGATGTGGAAAGAAACCTTGTCTGAGTTAAAGCTCAGTCGTTTGCAGAGACGTCAAGTTGTTCAAGACCTGGATTTCCAGCTAAGAAAAGATCTGGAGAACCGAGGGTGTGTTGTCAGGCAGAAGCTACAAGAAGTAGTAAGCCTGCTAAATTACCGGATGGAATCTTTCAGAATTAGAAAAGACCAGAATTGGTACAGTAAAATCTTAGCATATTTCACAAAGGATTGTTACAGTGAAATTGAAGCGCTTGCTGTATCTTTAATGAAGAAATGCAAGAAGTACATTGAAGAAAAAGTTAAATCTAAAACAGACTATCATGAAACCTATTGCGGAGAGCTGCTGCGTATGCTTAATGAGAGGCTAAGACAGGAGGATGTTCAGAAACTTCTCACTACCCCTCATTTTGAAGTTTACCTGAAGCTTCACATTTTGGGGGAAGCAGCTCATTCATTTCAGAAGATGCATGAAGATTTCATCCAAGAAAATGACCCTCAGCAATGTCTGGAGAAGCTGAAACCTCAGTATTTCAAGACTTTTAAAGCCCTTTACTGGGAAAAGGATGGGAGCCAAACACTGGCCAGGGATTTCTGTGATCAGTGTCTCAAACCTGCCCTGGTAGAACATGTGAACAAGATTCTCGGGGTGCAAATAGTGGATGACGTTGTCAGCAGCGAGCAATCTATTACCTATAGCAGCCGCGGCTTTTTTCAGTTTAACCTACTGAAGGAGTTGTTGGAGAAGGAGAACTTTGACAGCTACGTTGACTACATTATTACATATGAAGAGTTTGTCAAAACCTGGATAAGAACACAACTTTTAAAGCACTACAGCAAGACGGCAGCCTTGGGAGACATGGAGAAAAAAATTCTGTCCTCAATGATAGATAAAGTCAGGAAGGCTCTCCAGAGCAGCAGTGCTACAAAGAACACCACAATCTCTGACTTTTTAGATTCTGTTTGCAAAGAGCTGCAGAAGGACCTAGTCATTTCCAGGGATAATTTAGTGGGAATACGGTTTCTAAATGTCAATAGTTCTAAACAGTTTTCTGATTTCATCCCAAATTTTCTTCCTGATCTGAAAAAACAAATCTTAGCTGAGCTGAAAAGTACAGACATTGAGTCAAAACTCTCCCATCTGTCGGTGAAGCCTGAGGCTGAAATGTTCAAGCGAGTGTTCGGCTGTGGGAAGCAGTGTCCGTTCTGTAAGGTCCCCTGTGAGGCAGGAGCCCCTGGTCATAAGGAGCACTTTGCATCAGTGCATCGGCCTCAAGGATTGGGGCAATATAGGAGTTCACGTACCGAAAAGCTTGCCTATGACATGTGCTCGTCTGATGTGGTCGGCAATGGTACATTCCAGAATTCAGACACAGAAGGGAAACGTCATCCCTACAAAGAGTACCGTGACTATTACCCGGACTGGAACATTCAGCCAGATCCCAGCATAGAAGCTTCCAGTTACTGGAAGTTTGTTTTTCACAAGTTCAATCACCAGTTTGCTGAAGAGTATGAAGACTGGGGCACCATAACTAAGAAGCAGGCACTGGAGAGCATCAAGCAAGTTTTTAACATGAAATAAACAGCTTGTGAGAGTTTAAGTGGGGTGCAAGGCCTGGTGCATGACATCCCCTAAGAGATTGCCAGGACAGAGCACAAACCCCAAGTGAATTGAAAACGAGAAAAACCTCCAGAAGAGACACAGACTCTAATACAAAAGACAGGACTATGCAGCACTTTAAAGACTAACAGGAAGTGGGTCTGGCCCACAAAAGCTCATCACCTAATAAACCATCTTATTAGTCTTTAAAGTGCTGCATAGTCCTGTCTTTTGTTTCTGCAAGACCAGACTAACACGGCTACATCTCTATTAAGACTCTAATATAGTAATTGGTTCTCTGGTCGTTTTTCTATTGGGAAGTTGCTTTTGCAGAGATCTACTGAACAATCTATTGATGACCGAACAGTGTGTGGTATTTACACATCTCCAGACGTGTCTTCCTTTCCGATGCTTATGCCACTTTGAAGATTTTTAAAATATCAATATCGGCAGGGTTTAATATGGTACTAAAGAGCATTTGACCAACAAATAATCTTATCTCTAGTGAACATTTAAAGCTCTCCATATTTACTGATGAGGAATGTTCTCTTAACTATGTCTAGCTGCTCCTATCTCTCGCTCCAAAATACTGCTCATTCCATATCTACTTTCTGTGTGAGCAGTCATTGCCATGTGTGACTAGCCTGCAGTGTGCGACTTCATGTCATTTTGAGTTTTCATTACAAATCCACCTTCTCACAGAGCTAAAGGGATGAGGACGTCATGGTTTTGACAAAGATAAGTGAGAGTCTAAGTTTGCATGTACTGGAGTTTCAGACTTCGCATAAATTCTCATAGAGCTGGGAATTTTGATGAATCAAATGAATGTTTATATCTTGCAAATAAAAAAACAATATGATAAACACAGTATACGTGTGGCATTTCTCACAACATGATCTTTTGGTACAATTAGAAAGACATAAAACACTCAAAACTATTTATGACATTTTATTTAATGAACTATTTTTAACCTGTTTACCTATTTGTGGCCTCATACACGTATTTAGCTGACGCAAAAGTGACACCTAGTAACCAGTTAATGCTCCCTATTAATTCACTTTGTCTTCATTTGCCCCTTTGTCCCGGCCCATTATTATGATCAACCTTTAACTGCAGGATCATCTGCTCTTTTCCCCACACACCTTCATTGCATTGGGATGTGATGGTCAAAACCAGCTTGGGACTGAGTGTTACCCAATGTATTGAGTCACCGCTGAGCCAGAGAGACTGGCCTGCTGCAACACAGATTTCAGGTCTGGGCCATGCCCCAAACCTGCAGGAAGATACCTGCCTCCTGCAGTTCGATACCCAGCCCCATGCACCCTACATAAATCCCCTTACGTGGTACAGATCTCCATACCAGTGAGATCGGTCCTCTTTCTTGACACAAAGGAAGCTATGCTCAGACTCTTTGCCCTCCACCCCCACTGGTAACAATTATTTCCACCGGGTGTATTAATAAACAAAAGTGATTGTATGAAGTCCAAAAAGGGTTTCAAGCCAAATACACCAGCACACACAAGCTAAGATTAATCCCTCAAGAAGCTAGTGACATGTAATACCTCACCCTGAAAGTTGCTCCAATCATCACTGCACACACTGGACAGATGTCCAGTCTGGGTCCAGGCCTTTCCCCTGTTCAGTTGTTGGATGTTTCCAGCAGATCCTGGGTGGGACACCCGAGGAGAACTGACCATGTGGATTATCTCCCCCTGAATCGGATTTGCAAAAGGCAGGAATCCTTTGTGTTCAGTCCCAACTTTCCCTCCACTCTCGTGGAAAAATACAGCAGCCAAGATGGATTCCAGTAGCAGGGGACATGGTCACACATCTCTGCCAGGCCCCTGTCTCTGTACTTCCTGGGCTGACCCACATATCCTTAACCCACACATCAGTTTAAGCTCCATTGTCTCTTGCTAATGGGCCACCAGAGCCCTGAAATCTGATCAGTGGGAGAGACCCCAAAGCAGCAATTCTGCTATTCCAGATACACAGTTCAATGTTCCTAACTTGAGCTACAAACATGATACATGCCCACTGTAGCAAGAGGAGGAGGGCCTGAAACACAAGCCCACGTATCCCAGGCCTGGTGTGAGGCCAGAGGCCTAGCCAGCAATGGTCAAGACTCTGCTAATATAAATGAAGGCTGAGCTGTGGCAAGAGGCAGACCCTTGTGCATGGAACTTGACACCTGTCTGAACCTCAGTGATGCGGCCTACTCCATGACCCCAACCTCTGTGAGAGCGAGGGGGAGACTTTCCTGCCCGGGTGGGGGCAAAGGCTTATGAGCAGCCAGACCCCAGTGCCATTCGACGAGCACATCGGAGGCTGTGCTCAGCTGGGAGGCCTTGAGGGAGCGTTTCAGCCATGACCCCCTGAGAAACTCTCCCCCCAGCCTCTCCACAAGGGGCCCTGCATTGCCCCATGTGCCTTTCCTCCCCCACCCCCACTTCCCCTGCCCTCCCTTCCCCTCTCCCCTGCAGACCAAATAAAAAAGCCTTTTTGTTTTGAAAACACAACTTTTTTTTATTTGGGGGATATACAACAGAGAAGGGACTGGGGAAAGAACCTGGAAATGAGGAGAGGGGAGGAGGGGGGAGGGGGGCTCAGGGATGGGGTTGTGACATGCGGGGACGGCCTGGGGAAAGAACCTGCCAAGGGGGAGGGCAGAGGAGGGGAGCTCAGGAATGGGGCTGGGCCTGGCGCATGCTTCAGGTCCCTCAGGAGGCTTAGGCCGGCTTCCAGCTGCTCAGAGAAGAGGCAGGTGCCTGATGTTGCCCCAGACATGAGCTTTGCTCCCTGGCCTTTGCGTATCGCTGCCGGAGTTCTTTAATATTCCTCCGGGCCTGGCCCAGAATCCTGGGGTGCCCTTTCTCCATCAGGCGGGGGCCATCCAGCTGCAGATGTTGGTATTGCACCTCTTGGTGTAGAGAGCCTGGATGTTGGTCTCCTCCCCCTAGACCTTGAT